AGAAGAGTTGACCGGAAATTCGGTTTGTTTTTACAACCAAAATATAATTTAAAAACATTGAAAATATCGCAATGGGTAATGGCCTACCATAATACACCCTACCTCACTTCGCTTAATACATTCATTCATGTAAAGATTTTTGAAACTAGGGCGTCATACGGGAATTGATCGTAAACGTGATTCGATCCGAACCGTTATCAGCAACACTTTATAAAAATATCTTTGTTGCACACAAAAACAGATGGACGCGCATTGAACGGATATTCGGACGGATGGGCAACCTTAGATCGGTTCAGAAATCGATTCTGAATCGGTCAGGTGAATTTGTCTCAAGTTCTTTTGAGTTGTTACATACCCCCACACAAACTTAATCTTATACAGCAGCTGGTATAGGGCATAGAAACATAGTAAAAGTTAACATTATTTGTACTGCAACCATCTAAGTATTATTTTATTGTACCTCTAAAGGTAGGCATATCACAACCATTTCATTAACATATAGATGTCGGCTGCCTATTTAAATCACAGTTAAATAAACGTTTAAATTAAGGTTGATTTCAGCGATTTCTTCAAATCATTTCACTTGAAATGTGCTGGCGTTCACATTGCATTGAAATCATGATGCGCTTAGTTTATATCTACAAACCACTATAAAATTTCAATTTATAGTCTGAGACGTAGAACAGTTCGTCCTTTCGTTGAGATTAACTGATGGTCCCAATGGTAGTGATGAAATTATATATCCTTTGAGATAGATCTTTCAATACCCTGCAGAAGTAAGGCTAGAAAGGTCGAAGATAGATTTTCTTGAAGTATATCATCTATCGTATAATATAATGTATATCGTTTATTATATATATTTCATCACATATACATCGTATAAGCTATCTTTACTTAGCATGGCTATAATTCCAACAAATATACGCAACGTTTATTATACCCTGCACAGACTATATGAAGTTTATAGGACGTAAGTGACACGCAAAAGGGCTTAAAATAGACCTGGCTTTACTGGTAATACCGATCGATTCAGGATCATTTTTTAAATCGGCTCAAGTCTGTCTGTCCGTCTGAACTCCATTCATTTAAATTTTTATTCGAAATATAGGTTGAAATTTTTCACATATATTGATGAAATTAGGTGCACTGACGTTCTTCGACCCAAGGACACACACTACTGAACACTTCTTCGACTATTCCCCACATAACCTTCTACTTTGAAAAGTCGTTACATGAAGAAAAATTGTAGTTTTCAAAATTTTTCGTGTTATGTAGAAGTGTAACTTTTCACAATTCATAATGAAAATTAGTTCATAACAATGACATACAAGTCAACCTTGGACGGCTTAAGTCTATGTATTGGATATAACGATTCCTCAAATATGCGGACATTCATGAAAAGTATGCCTTTGCATAAAAACAATGTGTAACCTTTGGTGTACTATTATTAGCAAAACGAGTGAATAACCGCACCAGGCAAAGTGATGTAGAGCGTCGAATGGCCGACCTTGCCCGACTAGATTGTTCTTACTTGTGTATTTATTTATTGATAATCTATAGATTTTGTAAGCAACTGTACAAAATATGGATGTAAAGACTTGCCGGATTCATATGCTGGTCTGTATTGGAAACTCTACCATACTTGATTTATGGATTCTTGCTTAGCAAGTTTGAGAAAAGTTGGATTTCATTAATCGTTTAACCATTAATCGTTTAACCATGTAGCAAAAACTAATAAGTAAAGGGAAATTTCTATACTGTAAAGAGAACTAGTGAAGACAAAAAACCAGGCATTACCTGTTGTGTACACTTTTCTTGTTAGCAAAAAAAACATTATTTCCCTGGTATGTAACGTTTATGGCATAATATATATTATATAACTAAAAATTCTTGACAAAAGAATGGAATTTCAATCCCATATTATCTTAAGTGGGTGCGTATAGTTTTCTGATTTCTATATCAATATTGTACGATCATCCTCAGCCATTTCTATCGCTATATTGGAACAAGGAACGTTACTTTTGTTTTGTATCCGGAAGTGGAGTGTGTATTCTCCGTTTATGCTGCACGCAAGGCTTATCCTTCGATCGGTTTATCTAAAACGTATATATATATATATATATATATATATATTTATAGTTCTTCAGACGACTGGACCGCAAGCACAACGCCTCTGTGCTAATAAACATAATAGTTTCATTTTTTTATATCTACAATGTTACTCCCATTTTTAAATGAATTACTCAACCTACTAACATAGCCATGTGTGAATTTATGTTCTGGCAACTGCATTTGCTATTGAGTCAGTTAGTTAAATCGTTGATAGTCATCTAAGATGTACATAAGTATTGGACTAACATACCAGTTTTTGGACAAAATTTATTCCATCATGTATAGGAGTGTGGGAGGGCGGAGGTGTGAGGGATATTGGGCTAAGGTTTTAGATTTTGGGCAAAACTTATTCCAGGAGGGGAACTACTTTGTAACAAGATTAAATCCTAATTTTTTTAACACAAAAATATCAATAAAATTATATTCGGTCTTGACCGATCCTCTTATGCCCAACACTATTAAGAAAAAAAGTAAAAGAATTAAATTTTCCTACTCTATAATATGGAGTGCGCATGGCTGATTTTTTCCATTTTCGAAATAAAAGGCGAGTAGACGTTGTAAGCGTATTCTTGCAAAAGTTTAGGTCATTTCCAAATTGTTTTCCACATGAACAGACGGACAGACGGACATGTTTGGGTGCATTCCAAATATGAAACTGGCCAAGAAATTATATTCTTTATGAAGTGTTTAAAGCTTGTTTCTGTGCGTTATAAAGGTATTAAAAAAAGAATAAATTTTGGATGGGCGCAGTCAATCTTTGATTTTTCTACAAGTGCTACACCATCGCCCATAAAATATGTGTTCTAATTTTTATAAATTTATCTGCTATTATTTACGAGTAATAAGCAAAAGTTTACGTGCTGCTATCCTATACGCGTTGGTCTATTTTCAATACCAACCTGCAAAAATTTCCAATGTTTCTGACAAATTTGCAGCCAATAGTTTCATTTTTGCGACCTTCTTATTTAGAATTTTTTTTACAACAGATATTACACAGACGGACAGACGGACTTGCTTAAATTTAGAATTTGATACTGATCAAAAATATATACACTTTGTGAGGTGCCTGATGCTTCCTTCTGGGTGGGTATCCTTCAGGGAGAAGTATAAAAATTTGTGGATTTATAATACGTATACAATTTCTTTGTTTTTACCTTAATGACAAATACCCTCGACACAAACCTTCTGGTTAAAAAAAGTTTCAGTTTATGATTGAATCCGAAGATCCTTAGATCTAAAAATTTTAATTTACGATTTAAAAGAAGTCACATTCAAGCGCTGATCTTGTTGAGTTTTGAATTTACTCCTAGGATAAATTTGGTGACCAAGCTTATGATTTGGGACATAGTGTCAAAATTAAAATCGCGTTCACGCGAGAGAGGAGAGCACGATTAAATTGTATGCTAATCGAACAGACTTTTAAAATAATATGCAAAATTTCGAAAATTTGTTATTAACCGATACAGCTTCTTAGCCAATAGTTATTAAGTATTTCTTTCAAGAATCGCATTGTGCTACTTTCTGATTACGCTTAGGTACGTTACGCGCGAAATACAAACATTCAGGTTCGTTATGTTTATAGGGTATATAAGATACATCTAAAATCCCTTCGGACCCTTCAAAACGCGTTTCGTATCGTACCCATTGTATCATACGTGTAGAATGTATTTTATATACTGCACGTTGGCAATACTACGGAGGTGCATGGAACAAATGCACTCCTCTCCCCCCCACTCCACAATAACCAACATGGCAAAAGAAAAGTCCATCTGGTAAGAAAGTTTCCATCGTCTATTCTGTCCCTATAGGCTTTTCTGCGCTAGTATTTTTTTTGAATGCAGCCGTCTGTGGGGTATTCATGAAACAACAAAGGTAATGAATTTGGAAGAAGAATTTTGCGTTTGATGAATGTATCAAAAATATTAAATGGAAACTGTTATTTTATCTAGAGGAAGGTCAAAATCGTCGAATTCGATCCCTACGTGCATTGGTGTTTCCCATTCCCTAATTTTTTTTACCTGCAAAAATTGCTGATCAAAGTTTTTGTAAGCAACTAATATTATTTTCTGTGACACAAAAAGCCTGCATACGATCTAATCCATGGCGGCATATATTCTGGCTTATGTAAGCCAAGAAATTGCGTAAGAAATATACCGCCATATCTTCTATATACATATATAGTATATATGATATCTTGAATTTTACATCTTATAAATGACGTATCTCATATATATCGTGCATTAGCAGCGATAGTAGCAACTAAATTCCCAAGTTGCCAGTTTCGAGCAATCGATGTATTGTCTAGTATAATGTATCAGCACAAGCTCTGACTTATGTGAGCTAATAACTTCTTTAGAGTACCCCGTGTTGTACAGGTAATATTATAGCTATATACATTATATGTACAGTATAAATAGTATGATAAATGCGGTATGTGACATATTGGACGATGCCAATGAGTATACCAACTTTAAATGCCCTCAACTACCAATTTCGAGCAATCTATATATCAACATAATATATATCGGCACATGTCCTGATTTATGTAAGCTAACGACTCTCGTGAAAAGTTCACGGATATATAAATTTTCATATATAGTATATGCGATGTACATTGCCCCAATATTACCTCTTATATATAACGTATCTCTTAAAAATCGTAAATTAACAATGATAGTACCAGCAAAATGTCGCGGCTACCAAGCTCGAGCAATCTACAAGTATTTAAGTCGCTAATATCCGTAAAATTTTCGCCGGTTTATATAGCACATTTAAAGCGATATCTGCAATGCTGTAAAATGCAAGGGACGATAACATATCAAAGGATTATTTTCAGGCTTCAAAGTTTCTCTCATTTTGATTTGTGATTTTTATTTTCAAAAAAGCTCGGCTCTAGGGTCCCTTCAAAATTTCAAATTTGATATTTGGATTGTAATCATGTTATAGAGAAAAACTTGAAAGATATTGAGAATATGTTCTCTTTCATTTTCTCAATATAGACTCGTTCTTCTCATTATGCGCAAAAACTCCTCTTGATCAACTTCGCCATCACCATCCACATCGGTTTCATCAATCATTTCTCGTAACTCTTCGTCCGTGAGTTTTTCGCCCAATTCTCTGGCTACGCGTTTTAAATTTTTAAATGTAATTCTTCCAGTTCCATCATCATCAAATAAACGAAACGCTTTAAGTATCTCTTCTTTCGTATCTTTTTCGGCCATTTTCAATGTCATTAAATGCAAAAAATCATCAAAACTTATACGTTGCGTCCCATCTCGATCAATATCATCTATCATCCGCTTGATTTCTTCCTTTTTCGGTTCAAATCCCAATGCCCGTATAGCGACCTTTAGTTCCTTCTCTTCAATAAAGCCGGTACAATCGATATCGAAGAGATCGAAAGCTTGTTTTATATCAGTTTTCTGAGCTTCAGATAGCTCGAATTTTACGACCGTTCTTTTACGTGGAGCAGGGACAACACTCCGTTTAGGGGTTTTTTCCATTCTTTATTGTACTATCGTATGCCTTTATAACGTATTTTACCGCTAAACTTCGATTGTCTTGATCGTTTCCAATTTTTTCTTCTCCTTCACGAAAATCTTTTCCTTATTTTCCCAAAGGGTTTGACATTAACTTCTATGACTTCTCTTATTGAAATGAAAATTTTTTTCTTTTTTGTTTTTTTTATACACTACACCACTTGTCGTACAGGTTATATTAAGTTAGTGTAATACGCGGAAGGGCTGAAGACAAACGAACCTTTTATTGTGCCGATCGATTCAAAATCATAATCTGAACTGATCTAAGCATGTCTGTCCGTCTATTCATGTTCATGCTAAAGCCCGCAATTTTTGAGATATTTTGATGAAATTTGGTGCACTATCGTGTTTTGGCCCAAGGACAGGTGCTATTCAAAATGATTTGGATCGTTCCACTTTTTCGACCACTTCCCATAAAAATCACTATATGGAAGAAATTGCAATTTTCAAAATTTCTCGGCAAAAGTGACTAAGTAGTACTACTAATTTGGACCATCTGGGACAATTTTTGAACCCCCTCTCATATAACGAAAACTAAAGTTCGTACGATAAAAAGTATTGAAAATTATATAATAATAGTAATTTAACATAAATAAATTAACTCTACCAAATTTTAACCATCTCGGCCTATTTTTTGAATTCTACTACTACTAATAAGGATTTTCATGAAAACTGCTCCTTTGTAGAGCAGAAAAGTCGCAGTTTTAATACACGACGATGATAGTAGTATTTTCATACAAAAAAAAATGAACTCTACAATATATGAACCATTTGGGCCCAACAAAAACGTGCTTGAAAAATTTGCCTTTGTATAGAAACAACATATCATTTTTGTCCTCTATAATAAAAAAATAAGAATTGTGTTAGAAAATGTGATGTAGGATATCCTAGAGTCGATCTTCCCCGACTATAATGCTCTGACTTGTTTCTTAAGTAAATATATTTTTGTTGGTTTTATATTAACAGCAGAGGCTTCATTATAATGATACCTGATACTTTCCTCTTCTTATATATAGAACATCTAATAAATTAATTACACAATAATAATAATGTTTGCGGTTGAATATGATTTAAATTGATATTTAGATTTACTTAGCATAATAATTAAATTATGAAAGATTAATTATTAACAACTAAAATAACATGACTTTGAACATTTGCATAAAACCGCATAATATATTCTTTAGATTGATTAAAAACGAAAAGGCAGAAGAGAAGAGAAAAGAAAAACTTCATTAAAAATCCACTGCCTAATGAAGAGCAATCTGTTCATTCCACCCTAACTAGATTACACTTGTAAGGCCTTCGCTGGGTGACATCACATTTCAAATGTCATCATACGGACAAACAGAATTTAACAATAGCGTTATAGTGTGTGGCCTTGTTTTGTATTCCGAAACAACTTTCTATTGGATTGCTGTTGTTGTTAATGTTATTGTTTGTTTTTGAACGTTCCTAATGGACGATTTGTGGGAGAATTAAATTAATGAGCGCACTAATGAGGAGACTACAAGTCTCGAATGTGTGCCCACATACATATGTATGATAAAGTGTCATGTGTAGGAATTTTTTTTTTTTTTTTTTTTTTTTGCGGCACGAATATGTTAATAAGACCACAAATCTATTTACAAAAGCTTTTACAAGCATAGTTTCATCCTTTCATTATTTAAATCAAATCATTTTCAAAGAGGAAAAAACAAGCTAAAGCAATTGATAGGCAAGCAAGGTTCACCATTAAAAACCCTATCGCTTACAAAATGCTTTAATTAAAAAATATGCCCATATATCAAGATTCATTAAAGTATCTCGAAAATCGTAACCTATAGGTCATAGACAGGCGGACAGGCAGACAGACTGTTTGCCTCGAAAGCAAAAAAATAAGCTTCAACAAGATATTTCCAAAATTATAGTTTGTAGGTCAAAGACAAGTTATATGGACAGACAGACAGACAATGAAGCATAATGATTCTGAATCGATTACTATTTTACTAGGCGAAGCTTTCCCCAAATGTTCTTTGTGTTGCTTGCACAACCTTAACACAGAACAGTGTGTACCACAAATAACGAGAACATAATCATACCCTTTCGAAACCAATTCTTTCTGATACTCATGTGCCAGTGTTGTTGCTTTTCTAAATACGTTCGCTTTATAAAAAAAAAAAAAGAAAAACCACAAAATGTGTGAATCCATCAAACAACTAACGAGAATTTTCAAATAGCGCATTATACATTATATATAAAAAATGCTAAGGTAATGCTGTGTATTGCTAAACAATACTGCGACTTCTCCTTGCCAGGCTACTATCTATAGGATTTGAATCGCATTATATATCAGGCGATCGCGTCGAACCACAAGGTATGGGCAAGAAACGCAAAAATCACGATGCGAACAAGACGAACCATTAACATAGACGGTACATCCCTTGTAACGATCAATTGACTGACGGCTGCTTTAAGCTGCTCCAGTCAATTTCAAATATGTTACCAACAATCGCTAATCATGAGAGGAAAAACAATCGCAATTTAGTAAGAGTTTTTTCTTCTACTGTTCTATTCATCACATCTTGTCTCCTCCGATTAGCTAATTTTTCAATCCATGATTTATCGTCTATTTAATGATCACTAGCAAATGATTGCTTTGCGGACATCCTTAAATGCAAACGATTTGTCTTTTCGTTGTATAATTTCACATGTGCCTCCAGAATGATGGGAAAGTAGTGTCGAACGATAAACGGTTTTTTATGTAAGATATCTTATACCATTTTTTTTATCCAACACTTAAGGATGAATGGTATATTCATTTTGTTAAAACGTTTACTACGCCCAGAAGAAAGCATCAGAGACCTCACAAAGTTGCTCAGCGTCAAATTCTGTCCGTCTGTGCAATGTCTGTGGTAAACACTCTCCTGACCGCAAAAATAAAGTTATCGATTGCAAATTTGACAGAAACATTGGAAGTTCCTGCAAACAAGTTGATATTGAGATTGGATCTAAGCGTTCGAAAGCACGCCCACCGCACCAAGTAAACTCGAAACACCTTTGTTTTTCAAAAGGAAAAAAAAACTGGATTTTTGCCCATTACTAATACACTAAAGCAAATAAATGTATAAAAATTTGAAGACGTTTTCTATGGGCGACGCCGTAGCATTTGCGCACAAAAATGAAAAAAAAAATTCCCCAAAATCAAAATTTATTTGTTTCTTCAATACCGTTTGTAACGCGCAGAAACAAGCTTTAAAATCTCATAACCTACGCAAATTCTTGGTCAGTTTCAAATTTGTAATGCACCCAAACACCGCCAGTTCGTCAGTCCACCTGTCTGTTTGCAACTTTGGCGTACTTATGGTAAACATTCTCCCGTTAGCGGAAGTGATAACATTGTCTAGAAATTTGAAACACACCTAAACTCGTCCAAGAACACGCCTACTACGCCCATATGTCTCTACGATAAAAACTTTTTTATTGAAATCCCTTTATTGGAATATTATTCCTTCGAAAATAGAAGAAATCAGCTGCGCTCACTCCATGAACATGAAAAGTTTGTTTTTTTAATTCTTTTGTCTGTTTTAGGATAACGGTAATAGGTACAAAAGATTCGGTCCTGGACAAATTTAATTTTCTTACTTGTTATATCTTCTATCACTTATGGCACAAGGCTGCGAGTTTGTGAGAAAGAGTTTGAGATAGATACACCGTCGAATCAGAGTCGCTTTCTCAATCGACCTAAGCTTATATGCCGGTCCGTCTGTCCATCTTATACTGTATTATGTATTTCTACGTTTCGCAATTTTTGAAATATTTTGATAAATTGATGTTGAAATAGGCTTGGATCACTTTTCCGACCAATTTCATAATAAAGCCTTATTTTGCAAAGTCGTTGTATGAGTGACGATACAAAGCGAAGTGATGTACGATATTTAATCGTGAACTGCTAAAACTATTGTGCATGTACTTTCATCTTTGATAAGTATTTGCAAATGCTACAAATACGAAGACGTGGATAGCCAAATTTGTCATTGTTAAAGCTAATGCCGTGAATAAAACGGAAAAATTGTAATTTCGAAAAAGGAACAAATAAAAATAATGTTTCTAACTTTTGCTAAGCTGGCATATAAGCTATATCCCTGAAACGTGCACTGTTTTCGGTACACGATAATAAATTTAATTTAAATGTTATTATTTTTAATAAGTGTTCATTTTTTGTTTTGTTGTAAGAGAATATATGTACTTTGCCACAGTTCGTGCACTAGCAACACTATAAGTTATAAACATCATTATCGTGATCGTATAAAATAATGATAACTTTTAAGCACAAATAGCTGAATTTAAAAAGTTGAGCTTGCCTTAAAAGTACATTTTAGCGTGTACTGAAAACGGCACACTTGGCAAAAAACATATTAATTACAGAAGTATGAGCGTACTCATGTTGATCGGTTTAGTGTTTAAATCACATTGTATTTTTGATATATGTTGGAGTTTTTTTATTTCTTACAACAACATGATTTCGGCAGGATTGTGTCCACTCGTAAAAGAGTCAGAAGTCGTCTTGGATTTTTCAATTTTTATTAACAGTTAACTTGATTTGCGAAGAGTTAGGCATAGTTAGGCATAGTTAAATCACGCCTGGACGTGATGTTTATTAAAAAACGGTTACATTTTACTACTTTTCATAGGAAATGATAAAATTTATTAAGCTACCGTCCTTCAGTAATCGTGCATAAAAATGCAATCTTCTCACTCTTTTCGAATCTTTGTAACGTTTTACATATTTTCTCTTAAGTAATTTAACCTTGAATTAATTTTCGTTATAAACGAATCAAGTGCAACCACAAACATATGTAATCTCACTGGTAGGCATCACAGATTTGTGACATTGCTGCTATGTGTTTTTTTATTATTTATGTATATACTTTTTTTTTTTTTTTTTTGTTTTGTAAATTTTCTAAAGATTCTTCCAGTATACTCTCTGTTGCTATACATTCATTAAATAGTCACACAAACACACTGCACCCAAGATATGCCTTAGCAATCGCTTATGCCTTTTCTACGCTATTAAACAAATCGTATAATTTATCGACTTAATGCGCCAAGTTTTACATACAAATTGTAAGCAATATACAATACATATCTAAATGAAGACAAGAGTGGTGCTTAAACGTCAACACTTGAATATATCATGAAAAGGGTGTTGAATGAATATAAAAATAATAATAAAATTTCTTAAAAAAAAAAAGAAGAAAAACTTGAAGTGAAAACTTAAATACTCAAACAAAATGTATTCAT